CAACGAGTACTTAAAAGACAAACTTTGGGATATAGATCATCTCTTTTATTTTTTTTTCAATTTTTTAAATAATAAATCATTTATCATAAATTTTACCGTGTCCTACTGTATATAAGAGAATCTCTCATTGATACCTAGTGGATGACAGTACCATTGAGAAAATTAAAATAAAAATTATCAGAATAGATCTAGATCATCAAACTTATGCTATATTTGAACCAAGAAAAAGGTGCACTATGCATTGTTTGAATGCAACACAAACGCAGCTTGAAAAAAAAAAAAAGAATGTAACACAGACCAAACTTGTAATATTAGTGTGAGATACTAGTTGTCTCTAGTCTTTTCTTAAACCATATAACTCTACTAATGAGGGAAGACACATCTACACTCAAATAAAAGCTTGACAAATGCTATTATACCGAATTAGAATAAGTTTACATTTTTTTAAGACGCGCGACCCCTTACTCACATGTGAAGGTGTCGATAGATGGACGTGAATATGATATCAAGGACATAACAAGATGATAAACTTATAATCAAATCTATGAAATTAAACCATGCTAAAACATCTAAGTCAAAGTTAATTGAAAATAAATGAATAGGTTTGCAAGGATCGTTTATTTGCTTAATTGAAAATAAATAAAAATAAATTTTTTGATTTTGGGGTGGCATATGGGGTTGCCACCCCCATATGCCACCCCTTGGAGTTGCTCTAAGATCTTATCCTTCACTTGAGAAGCAAACAGTGAGTTACTTTGGTTTGCTCAACTTTATTCAAAAAGGTGAGTTGATGGTTGGGTGTCTGCTTCCACCGCTAGGCGAAGCGTGGATTCTATAGTTTCGGTGGAAAAGAACCTTCTTTCAAGTTAATTGGAAGAAAAAAATAATACGCTCTCCGAGAACAGAATTTATCCTTTCGGCTCAAGGCCAATGCTTGGTAGGTCATAGGTAAAAATTGCTTGGACAAAATGATGGCCAAGTAGATGCAACAGACCTTCAAAGACAACTTCAAGATAAAACCATCTTGCAATTATGAACGTCTAATCAAATATAAAGGTCACCAATAAGGTCTAAGCTTAGAGGAATGAAATTGGAGTAATTTTCAGGAGACTTGTGCCCATCTCAAGTAGTTGTAGAATGATAAGAATGCCATTAAGAGAGGGTTTTGAAAATAAGAGCTCGAACCACCAATAATTTAGGACTTACATACCCAAAATGATTTAGCTATCAGAAAGATGAATGGAAGAAAATGTTCTTTGTGGGCTCATGTAGGCATGCTTGCATTAATGGCGATTCATAATGCAGAGGGAGAAGAAGATTCATAAAAGCATTCAACTTGCAGTCTTAATTATTTTCATGCCACACTTTGTTTTTTTTTTTTTTTTTTTTATATTTTACGACTTTCAATCATCAAAAGTTGGGTTAAGGAGAAGAAGATACAAGAGAGGGGACGGAGAAAGAATGTGTTCCCTCCCCCTCAAAGTTTGAAAAATCACATAACTTAACATAAAATTTATGAAGTGTCTGTCATAATTATAAGGAATTCATTCCTTAAGACTAGTGAAAAGAAAAAAAAAACAGTGGATGTTTTTCAAATATACATGTACTTTATCACTCTGTTTGTTCTTACGTTAGTGTTTTTCCTTCGGGTTAGTTCATCACTGATGAAGTCCTCATCTGTTATGCCTTGTATTTATTTATTTACAATCGGAGGAATGCAAAATAGTGTGGTTTTGGGTCTCGTGGTTGTGATTATAATGTAAATAATGAATGTAAACAATCCATTGTCAAACAAATTGTTTTGAGATCCTAAGAGTTGCACAAAACAAGATGTGGTATATGTGAATTTAAGTGATCCTAAGAGTTGCATAAAATTTAACGTTCGGTAGTGTTTGTGTCAGTTTACGGGCATCTTAACTAATTTTTTCTCCGATTTAGTCAAAGACAGACAATATGCGCCAAAAATAAGATATTTGTAAGAGATAAATCTTTTATGATCTGATTCTAAAAAATTATTAAAATTTAAATTTAAAATATCTAAATTTATTATTCGGCCTCCTTACCACGTAAACTATTGATCTTTCCATGTCCAAAAAGCATAGCCCACGGTTTTAGATAAGTTCAAAGTAGACCCAAAATAAAAGGTGCAATACTAAATAAAAGAAACTTTGTAAATTATTAAAGCAAAAGCCGGAAAAGCCACCCTCTACCTGAATCATTAAAAGGATGTGAAGTGTAAACATTTATTAGTCTCCCTAGTGATGTTGATGGGCTTTCTTTCTCTGCGTTGCAGATTACCTTTAATTGGACTCGACGATTTTATCATTGAAAGGCGGATTTTAATTCAATTGTAATCTTAGTTGATTTTAGCGTAATATATTTATGTTACAGAAACAATCTTTTAACGCACAAGGTAATATTACGTACGTATAATCCTCTCAAATCCCACATTTTCGAGAACTTTGTGCATTTATATCATATATAATTTTCCCATCAAATTTAAGCTCCTGTTCACTTTTCTTAATGGACTGTGAACTAACATAATGGGGTCCCTTCTTTATTTTTATTTATTAAAAATATATTTTTTAATTCCACATTTTAAGTTTATATATCATTACTCAAAATTATTATGTTCTGACATCACTCTGAAAAAACAGTAATAGCTTGACAAATGGACTATTGACATTTCTTCAGTGTAACCCCCAGCCCATGCCAGAAAATGAGAGGAATGGGTTAACATAATGTAACATTACGACGGAAAAAACTTTAGTATATTTAGAGTTGGAGAAACATAATCATCAACATGCTGAGGTATATAGATTTATTAGCAATAACCCTGTGTCTAAAAATATTTTATAATATTAAATATTAAATATTAATCTTACAATTCTTATATTTTAAATAATAATTTATTTTTTTTAATTACATAATTTAAAATTAGTGTAAATAAAAAAAAATAAGAACGTGATAATGGAAAGAGATATATATAAATTGATAAAATTATTTAACATTGTAGAGTATGTTGACTAAATTACTTGGTGTTAGAAGTCGTATAAAGAAATTAATATTGTTGGATGATAAAAAAAATTTTAAAATTTTTTTATATCATTAAATTAAAGTAAATAAAAAATTATATCAATTTTGTGGTCCTTTTATAAAATTTGGCGGTATCTACCTGGTCATAGGCTAGTTTTGACATCAAAGACACCTCCAAATACGTATAATCATTGAAGAGGGGACAAGCTAAAGTAATTTATTCCCATTGGAGGTACCTTCTAGTAATTTCAACAAACAACTTCCAAATAATTACTAAAAAAAACAAGAATAGTCAAATAAAAAAGGATTAATCTCATTTTGTACCCTAAAAGATTATTTAAATCTCAATTTACACCTCCAAAGATAAAAAATCTCAATTTACACTCTCAAAGATAGAAATTTGTATCAATGTGCATCCCCAAAGATAAAAAATCTCAATTTACACCCTCAAAGATAAAAATTTGTATTAATATGCACCTAAAATTAAATTGATAAATTATACCTAGATCCCCTCATGTTTGTCACTTAATCATTTGAACTCCTTCACATTTAGAATATTTTCCTTACATCTCATGACGTTTATGCCTGTGTAACACATAACCACTTTTCGTTGATATCTGTTAATATAATAGTTAAAAAATATAATTTTATCATAATAAAAAATTATAATTTCATATTTTCTTTTATTTTGTGGATTCGAAATACTCTAAAGTTACAAATCAAACTTACCATTTGAATGTCTAATAAAATGCAGATATTTATATAAAAGGTAATATAAAAAACATTATATAAATATTTACATTTTATTAGACATTCAAATGGTAAACTAGATTTTGAACTTTAGAATACATTGAACCCATAAAATAAATGGTAATATGAAATTATAATTTTTTATTAGGATAAAATTATATTTTTTAACGGTTATATTAATAGATATCAATGAAAATGAGTTACGTGTTATACGTGCACAAATGTCATAAGATGTATGAGTAATATTCTAAATGTGAAGAGGTCTAAATGATTAAGTGACAAGTATGAGGGGATTTAGGTATAATTTATCAATTTAGTTTTAGGTACACATTGATACAAATTTTTATCTTTGAGGGTGCAAATTGAGATTTTTTATCTTTGGAGGTGCATATTGATACAAATTTTTATCTTTGAGGGTGTAAATTAAAATTTTTGATCTTTGAGGGTGTAAATTAAAATTCAAACAATCTTTTGGAATGTAAAATGAGATTACCAATCTCGTTTCGCACGTAAGAGTGACAGCTCTACGCCCTAATTAAGTGCGTGAAGGACACACTCACCAAGGCCCCCCCAAAAAAAAAAGAAAAAGAAAAAGAAACATTGTTGCCGATCTTGAAGGGCTAAAATTAATTCCTCCAAAATTGAAAGGAAAGTTAATTATTTGTATTAAAATGTATTTTATTTGTCTATATATTATGTATATATTAATTTCATATAAAAATACAATGATAAAATATGTATTTATATATATATATTTTTTTAAAAATAAAAATTTTAAATTTAAATTAAAAAAATATTTGTTCATCTTAATTAGGGGTAAAAATTTTCGATTCAATACGATGACATAACTCGAACTCAATACGAATTTTATAACACGGATTTGATTATAACTCGACACGAGCTTGAAAATGACCTAACGCGCGAACACGAATCTGACACGACACGATTCAATTGTCACCCCTAATATTAGACAAAAAAAAATTAAAAAAAATTAGTCATTTTTATTTTTTATTTATCTAACAAAACATCAAAATATCAAATTTATCGTTTTTTATGTTTGTGATTTTATTTTGGACGTAAATATAAATATATTTATGATTAATAATTTTTTTTATTACTTCTTGTTTTGACAATAACTAATTAATTTATATATGACTAATTACATCTGAATACAATCTATTGCTCCCATGGTGCGAGGGGGAGTGGGAGTGGCTATGGCGTTGTTGTTACTTTATGAATCGTAAAAAATTATTTTTGTGGTTTCCACTTTCTTGTACGGACGTTTATATATAGACCCTCTCTATCTCAGATTCCAAGCAACCAAAACCTCTCTCTCTCTCTCTCTCTCTCTCTCTCTCAAGACAACCAAGAGGTTCCACTCCTGTAAACATGGCTATGGAACCTGTGCATGCAGAGAAACTGTGGCAAATAGTAAAGACAGTGTTTTACATGTTGAGGAAAGGCATCTCAAAAAGCAAACTACTGGTTGATCTTCATATGATGCTAAAACGAAGCAAGATCGCCGGAAAAGCCATCGGTAACCTCATGCTAAACCACAACTACTCCGCCTTCAGCTGCCGGTCGGACATCGGATTGTCGTTCGTGAACCCGGGAGAGTACGAATTCAGCTGCAGCAACAGCCCAGTTTATCCCTCCTTCCACAACTACCGCCGCCGCCACCACCACAACCACCGACGCCACCGTCATTCTCGCCATAATGCTGAAGACATTAACGCTGCTCACCAAGTGTTTGATATTTTGAATGAGTGTGAGATGGTGGAGGGCTCGCCGTTGACGTTGCCTGGGTTTGGTCCTAGCCCCATGGTGAGACAGCTGAGAATAACGGACTCGCCATTCCCATTGAAGGACACAGAGGGAGATACTGATCAAGTGGACATGGCAGCTGAAGATTTTATCAAGAAGTTCTACAAGGTGTTGAAACAAGAAAAGAGAATGGCTGCCCTAGAATCTCCATCGCCTTGCCACAAATGGGCTCGATGACCAAGTTGATCAATGGGGTTTCTGGTGATTTTGATGATCAAAATTCCAAGTTTCTGAGCAAGGGATTCATTTTTCGCATCATGTGCACAAGTTTACACACCAGAGATTTTCATTGGTTTAACTAATTACCTTGGTGTGGACTGAGGAGGTGTGCTAGCTTCGAAGATAAAGTGCAATCTTTTCCCTCACAATAATTTTGGCTTTGGATTGGTTGTGTTTTTTTCCCCCTAGACTTTTTTGGTTGTCATAGTGCCACTGTTATAAATAAGCTCACGTTTTATGAGTGTCATTCCTCTTCTCTTCATTACATTTTTAATAAATTTGTTTCTATCTAATTTATTAACTTTGTCTCATCGTTAGTACTGGAAACTATGCATAGGTTGCCCCTCACATTTTTAAAATTGCCGTTAGATCCCCATAAAATTTTTAGAAGAGAAATGTTATTGGTACCTAATTTATTATGATCTTTAGGTTCACTATAAATTTCAGTAAACATTGAAATTTGATGTTCATCAAATAAAACTACATCATTAAATCATTCATTAGTTCAAAATTTTAAATCTAAATAACATTACTTTTTTAGAAAGTTTTATTGCAATCTCTTAGGTTTTCAAAAAGGATATTTCACTTCCTTTACTCAAAAAGATTAACAACTTGATATTTAATTATCAAATGACAAAGAAACTTATTTGGATGATTTTAATAACTATAAGAAAAAAGCAAATAATTCTGTTTTTCAAAATTTAGTTAAAAAATGTGACTTATATTAAAAATAATACATTGACTCATGATTCATTTTTAGTATAGTATCATGTTAATTATTACTTACTAGGATAATTTATTTGTAGCCACAAAGTTATCAAATAAATAATAAAAAAAGAGGATGATAGTATTGTCTCAAACTAATTTTTCTTATGGTACAAATTAATTTTTGGTTTTTATGACCCAAATTAATTTTTTTGACCGCATAGTATAAAATTAATTTTAATGGGTTCTTTATAAATTAAAATTTGTCGTTAACTATAATCGTTGAATAAAATTTTGTCTATGTCATGATTTTGGTACCCCTCAACATAAGATTTTAGTTCCGTCTTTTGTAGTACTCAATCTAATACGGTATTACGACTCGCTATTACATGTTAATGCAACAATAATAATAGATTAAATCAAAAAATTAGATCTAAATACCATAATTAAGAATTCAATGTTTACTGGAACTTCTGCAATCTGCTTAGTCAAGAGAATTCAATTGTATTGCCTTTTGAAGTTGGTGAGTTGGAAGCTTTGGATTTATTAGGCTTTTGGGACTATTGTTTTTTCAATGCGTCCTTTCTTCTCTACAAGTAGGTGTAATAGTGATATCATATTATATTATTAATACGTGATAGTTATTTTCATACATAAATATGGTAATTATTAAATTAAGTAAAATTAAATTGCTTATTTATTAATTTAATGATGTAGTGTTACAGTTATATTCAATATATTTTTTTTTTTTTACTACTGTTTATAGTGGCTCGCTTGTTGACAAAAAAATAGTGGCTTGGTTTCACACAAGTAGGTGGAAAGTCACCCATCACGCACAAGTTGTAAGGGGTAGAAATCGCTATAGAATTTCAGCCCTTCACTCGAAAGATTTCGGTTGACTTGGCGGCACCGAGCCCCAGTAGCCTTTACCTCTCTTCGCCAATAGGATCTTTTCTTAAGGCAATCCCACAACGGAAGAGAGTCGTCTTCTCCCCTCGCATATAAGCCCTTGCACTCAAAGGAGGAGGTACCCACTAACACTTCATAGGAGAAAAACGGCTCTCTTCCGATATGAGATTGCCTTAGGAAAGGGTCTTATTGGTGAAGAGAGGTAGGATCCTTTCCTAAGGCAATCCCACAACGGAAGAGAGTCGTCTTCTCTCCTCGCATATAAACCCTTGCACTCAAGGGAGGAGGTACCCACTAGTACTTCGAGGGGGAAAGACGACTCTCTTCCGATGTGGGATTGCCTTAGGAAAGGGTCCTATTGACAAAGAGAGGTAAAGGCTACTGGGGCTCGGTGATCTTCTCTTCCGATGTGGGATTGCCTTAGAAAAAGATCCTATTGGCGAAGAGAAGTAAAGGCTACTGGGGCTCGGAGCCGTCAAATCAACCGGAATCCTTCGAGTGTAGGGGGCTGACCTGGCGGCACCGAGCCCCAATAGCCTTTACTTCTCTTCGCCAATATGATCATTTCCTAAGGCAATCCCATAACAGAAGAGAGTTGTCTTCTCCCCTTGCACTCAAAAGAGGAGGTACCCACTAGCACTTCGAGGGAGGAAGACGATTCTCTTCCGATGTAGGATTGCCTTAGGAAAGGATCCTATTGGCAAATAGAGGTAAATACTTATAAGCCCTTGCACTCAAAAGAGGAGGTACCCACTAGCACTTCGAGGGGGGAAGACGACTCTCTTCCGATGTGGGAAGACGACTCTCTTCCGATGTGGAATTGTCTTATGAAAAGGTCCTATTGGCGGAGAGAGGTAAAGGCTAATGGGGCTCGGTGATCTTCTCTTCCGATGTAGAATTGTCTTAGGAAAGGGTCTGATTGCTAGGTAAAGGCTATTGGGGCTCGGTGATCTTCTCTTCCGATGTGGGATTGCCTTATGAAAGGGTCTGATTGCTTTAGGAAAGAGTTCTATTGGCGAAGAGAGATAAAGGCTACTGGGGCTTGATGATCTTCTCTTCCGATGTGGAATTGCCTTAGGAAAAAAGGTCCTATTGGTGAATCTTCTCTTCCGATGTGAGATTGCCTTAGGAAAGGATCCTATTTGTGAAGAGAGGTAAATGTAGGTAAAGGCTACTGGGGCTCGGTGCCGTCAGGTCAACCGGAATCCTTCGAGTGGAGGGCTACCGTCAGGTCAATCGGAATCTTTCGAGTGAAGCGCTGAAATCCTGTAACGATTTCTACCCTTTAAAAAGATCAAGTGTTAGTGGGTACCCATCCCTAAGGGGCTCTGGCTTATAAGGGGGTGGGATCAAGTGCTCTGGCTTATAAGGGGGTGGGATCAAGTGTTAGTGGGTACCTATCCCTAAGGGCCTCTGGCTATAAGCCTTTTTGTTAGGGGTAGAAATCGTGCGTTCAAATCACATCCCTGAACTCAAGGATTTTGGCTGACTTTGACTCCTTCCTAGGGCAATCCAGTAGCCTTTACCTTTCAGTGCCCGTGCGGAGCTTCGTCCCACATCGACTGAGAGTCGTCTCTCCCACCCCTTTATTAGTCTGAGCTCCTTAGGGATGGGTACCCACTAGCTACTTGATCAAGTGCTAATGGGTACCCATCCCTAAAGAGCTCATGCTTATAAGGGGGTGGGGGAGACGACTCTCAGTTGATGTGGGACGAAGCTCTGCACGGGCACTGAGAGGTAAAGACTATTAGATTGCCCTAGGAAGGGGTCAAGGTCAGTCAGAATCCTTGAGTTCAGGGATGAGATTCGAACACGCAATTTCTACCCCCTAACACAAGTAAACGTCGATAATGTCCATGCCCAGATGAGCTCGTTCAGACAGGCATATATACATAAATCCGAGATAGTCAATCCGAGTACTGTCTGAGTTAAATTCGGGTGGCTTCGAGTTGAATTCAAATTACTTAATTCGGGCTGATTTTGATTCGAGTTAAAAATCGGGTTGATTTTTTTAAGTGTAGGTTTGATTTTTTGAAGTGTAGATCTGATTTTTTGAAGTAATTTGAGATGAAGGACGAGACACAGATAAAGAGAGAGGGAGTGAGATAGGGAATAACGACGAGTAAGAGAGGGATCTGAGAATTATAAAGGCGCAAAAGTGAAGACTTGAAATGAAATGAAAGTCTTGACTCTAAAGAATGAATATAAATATTAACTCTAGTTAAATATATTTATTTATTTATGTATATTCGGGTTCAACCAGATTTAATAATCGGGTTTAACCCGATTTTAATATTCGGGTTTAACCCAACAACCTGAGACCTCAACCCAAAATTTGTCCAAATTCAATTCGGGTTAGAATTTTTTTATTCAGCCCAACTCAAGTATTAAAAATTTCAACCCAAACCCTATTTTTTCAGATTGGACTCGAATTAAATTCGAGTTGACCTGCCCAAATTTCACAGCTATAAGAAATTATGTGGTTTTTGTCCGAATATAACTTAAATCAATTCGCGGTTGAAAATTACGATTTTTGAACTTACCGTACGTGCTTTTCAATCATGATTTCAACAATGCCTTAATCATTGAAGCTGTGCTTACTAACCACGCTTAATTGAGTCCGAGAAGTAAGATCAAAGCGGCTTCTAACTTTTTTGTAGTTCATTCTTCAAAATAGCTTACCTTAGGCTAAAACCGTTATTTACATGATAACTTCAAATTCACGTCTATTTGTTTGTCACTTATGACGAATGTTAACATGTTATTCATGCACTACAATTATTTGGGTTAATTGTAATCATTTTGTATAATGATTTTCTATGTTTCCTTGATTAATAAGTTTTCTAGGAATTAAAATGTATAGGTTTGGTTCATCCACATCAACTTCAATAGGATTCACGACATGTAAGTGATCCCTGATTTAGAAACGTGCTTTTATATTTTCTTAACTCAAAATGACTAGAGAGAAGAAAGATTCATGTTGTCCATACAATGCTCCTCATCAAATACCCAACCTTGGGCCAAGGGCAACACATAAATGAATAGTTCGTTCCAGAACCCCACCCTCTCGAGAGTTTGATGCTGGCTGAGATGGAGTTGGGAGCCAACCTATATTTTCATGGGACGTGCCTTGTCTCAACATCCAAAAAAAAAAAAAGGAAGGGCACCTAAAAGGAACCAACGCAGCTTAATATTTAAATTTATTTTTAAGTATTTTTATCTTAATTTTCTTTAATCTGCAATGAATTCAAGTCGGCCCATCACTTATATACTAAATATTATAGTAAAATGGTAGATTGAATGCGATCTAATTTTTTGAGTCTCAAAGAAGTAAGATTTTATTT